ATCATTTAATGATGTGATCATTATCTTTTAAATGATAAATAATATTATTTTTTAAAAAAATATTAGTTTTATATAATTAAATAAAGGTTAAAAAATATTACTCGACAAATAGCAATTATAATGGATATCAGTAAAATCATGCATAAAAAAATCTTTAAGATCATAATTGAATAGTAAATGTAATGCAATCATTTAATGTATATAGTAAAAAAATTTCCAAATAAGGTTTGCATTAAATGTGTGTTGACTTTTCTTGCTACTATTTTTTGTAAATAGGTTTACTTTTAATATATATACTAGTACGTACCCCGTGCGATGCACGAGACAAAGATATTAAATGAGTTATTTTCACAGCTTTGTCCGTTTAAGTCTAAAAAGTAATAATGTTATTATCTATTTTCTACCTCTTTTAATCAACGTTAAGTCGAAAAAATTATTAAGCGCCCTCAGGCAAATGTGTATGGAGTTATGTGTTCGTGTCTCATAAGTCACAAACGTTATGAATAACATTACAAATTATTCATTCAAACGTTTATTCATTGCAATTATATTAAAATAGTTTATATAACAACCATTAAATACCACTTTCAATATATTTATAAATAAAAAATACATAAAATTTCTGGTATATTCAAATTTAAATAATTTTTTATGAGCTCAATTTTAAATCATCCAGACATTTGGCACGCATAGGTGTGTTCAAATTTAAATCATTGATATTTTGATCGGTTAAAATTTAAATCATTTACCATGATACTGTGATGTGTATTATATATATATATATATATACAATTTTATAACAAATAATATGTGATTTATAAAAATAATAATAATAATTTTACAAAATTTTAAACGTAAAATTTGGTTTTTAATCATAATAGAAAAATCATGGTAAGTTGTATTGAAAAAGTGTTATGAGATAAAACAATTAACTAAAATAATTAAATAAAATACTTGATGGAAATAGAATGCATTAATTATCTTTGACTTTTCTTACTACTAATTCTAGTAAATAGAATACCTTTTTATATAAGTATAGATATATATATAGATTGAATTCTTAATTATAGGTCTACTGAATTTTTTGTGCCAAATATTGATTTTTTTTTTTCTCGCCGTCACTCTCATGGTGAGCCTCAGAGGCCAAAAAATTAGGGTTTCGTACGCCGATTGGGACGCCACCGACTCGTCGTCCGAAGAATCCGACGCCGCGGCTTCCGCAGGATTTAAGAAGAAACCCAACGAGGTGGTCGTCGGCCGGAAGAAATCGAAGCCCAAGGAGAGGATACGGCTGAATATAACGGCCAAGTCCCTCGGGAAAGAGCAGCTCCCGTTCGGCGTGCAGCGGAGGAAGAGGGGGAAGTACGCGTCCGCGATCCAGAACCCCCTGACGAAGAAGCGCATCTGGCTAGGGACCTTCGTCACGGCAGAGGAGGCCGGGGCCGCCTACCTCGCGAAGAAGGAGGAGTTCGAGGAGAAGCTGCGGGCCAAGCGTGCCCGCGATTGTGCCCGGCGCGTGAAAAAATTGGCGAATCGAGAGTCACCGACCTCGGTGCTGGACGCCGGGGCGGCGGAATCGAAGCCCAAGGAGAGGATACCGCTGAAAATGACGGCCAAGTCCCTCGGGAAAGAGCGGCTCCCGCTCGGCGTGCAGCGGAGGAAGAGGGGGAAGTACGCGTCCGCGATCCAGAACCCCCTGACGAAGAAGCGCATCTGGCTGGGGACATTCGCCACGGCGGAGGAGGCCGGGGCTGCCTACCTCGCGAAGGAGGAGGAGTTCGAGGAAAAGCTGCGGGTCAAGCGCGCCCGCGATTGCGCCCGGCGCGGGAAAAAATTGGCGAATTGGGAGTCGCCGACCTCGGTGCTGGAGGTCGGGGCGGCGGATGGGGGGATTTCCGGCGGCGAAGCGGCGGCGGATTTCGGGGTTTTTCGGGGCGTGCGGGTCATGGACGAAAACGGGGGTCTGTTGGGCGAATTTGGGTGGCTCGACGATCTGAGTATACTTGCAGATGAGGATGGCGTCATTCTGGCAAGATGAGTTTTTTTTTTTTTTTTTTTTTTTTTTTTTT